ATTATAGATGTTAGATAATTATAAATATAAATGGATAGACAGACAGACTGATAGATGATGGATAATTATAAATATTAGATGATAGACAGATAAATAGATGGATGATAGAGACAGATGATATATAGACACATAGAGAGATAGATAGATGGATAAATATATGGATAGACAGACAGAAAGAAGATAATAGATAATTATAAATAGATGATTAGATAGATTGATACAGACAGATGGATGATAGAGACAGATTATAGATATAGATGGAGGGATAGGTAGATGAATAGACAGACTGATAGATGATAATTATAGATGTTAGATAATTATAAATATAAATAGATGGATAGACAGACAGACTGATAGATGATGGATAATTATAAATATTAGATGATAGACAGATAAATAGATGGATGATAGACAAGACAGATGATATATAGGCATATAGATAGATGGATGGATAAATATATGGATAGACACAGACAGAAAGAAGATAATAGATAATTATAAATAGATGATTAGATAGATTGATACAGACAGATAAGATGGATGATAGAGACAGACGGATTATAGAGATAGATGGATGGATAGGTAGATGGATAGACAGACTGATAGATGATAATTATAGATATTAGATAATTATAAATATAAATAGAAGATAGATGGATAGACAGACTGATAGATGATGGATAATTATAAATATTAGATGATACATATAGACAGACTTATATAGAGATGGATGATAGATTAGACAGACAGACTGACAGATAGATATCATATCTTCCTTTCCTATCAATTTATAGAAAGCGTTCTGGCCCTCAAGGTCCTCAATTTGCGTATGACCATAGATGCAAATAAACGGCATAATATGTGCCCTCTTGCACATCTTTTCTTTAGGGCCATACTCCAATTGCGACTAGGACTAGTTCATTATGTTGAGGGCCAGAATGCTTTCCATAAATTGATGTGAAAGGAAAGGAGGAGGAGTTATCACTTTGTGACTAAACAGCGTATGGTACTCCTGTGCCATTTATACCTCACTTGAATGATGTGACTTCATGTGAGCAGCTAATCTGAATCGTGCCTTAAGCAGTGACCTAAAAGCTGACTCTGTTCTTTCCTTTTGAAGAGGGTCCCCTCTGTGAGATGAAATGGGTCAGATCTGATGAGGACTAGCACCTTGCTGGGAACTTCCTTTCCTTCCACCAGAACGTACTGTGGCTCTCCAGGATCCTAGCAGTTGTTTAACTGTTGGAACATCCCTCCCCGTTTATGGCTCTTTTATTTAACCTTGGCGGTGTGAGAGCATAGAATGGATGGGATTCGGGGAGAACCTTGCGGGCGCTCTCCCAAAATGGCTGCCAGGGTTTTGCTGCATTCATTGCAGGGCTTCCCAAACTGGTGGCTATACACTGATTCCCCAGAATGTTTTTCCAGGACCTCGGTCTTTTTTCCCTGGGCAATGGGCATATTTCATTGAATTAGAACATCCAGAAGCTCCAGTTGGTGCAAAATGCAGCGGCCCGCATGGTTTTGTGCAGAGCACATGTGTCACCTCTCCTGTGGGAGCTGCATTGGTTGCCGACTTGCTTCCGGGTGCAATTCAAGGTGTGCTGGCTGTCACCTTTAAAGCCCTCAATGGCTTGGGACCAGGTGATCTGAGGGACTGTCTCTTGCCGGTCACATCTCCCCGACCCATCAGAGGCAGGGAATGTTGTGGGTCCCGTCCCTGAGGAAGATACACCTGGTGGGACCCAGGGGAAGGGCTTTCTCCGTGGTGGCTCCCTCTCTCTGGAATATCATCCCCCCAGAGATCAGAATGGCCCCCTCTCTAATACTCTTCCAAAAGGCGCTGAAGACCTGGTTCTGCCAGCGGGCCTGGGGAACCCAGAGTGGGATGGAGCCTATGAAATGGCTCGTGTGATCTACTGTCATCGGGGCGGGGTGAGAGTTGGGGGTGTGTGTGATTTTTTATTTATTTATTTTCCAGATTTTGTTCTACTGTACTTTACTCATTTATTTGAATATGTATATATAAAATATGAATATATATATACATACATACATACATACATACATATACATATACATATACATATACATATACATATTTTCTGAGGTTCTCGCAGGTATTTGTATGTGGATCTTTGGTTATTCGGGTTTTCTCCCGCGTAAGATTGGAAGTATCTAGGCAACGTTTCGATGAAGTCTCATTCATCATCTTCAGGCTTCTGTCTTCAGCTCTGTGCTTAGGTGGCAATATAAATTCAATAAATAAATAATATTTCACCCAAAGTCACTTGGGTGGCTATAGAAACTGAAATGGAATAAATTAGCCAAACGAAGGCAGAGTTGCAGGCCTTTTCTAAGGATGTGCGCAGGAAATCTTTCCCTCTGGGACATCCACGCAGAGCTGGTGTTTGCTGTGTAGTGTGTCAGCTTTTACTTTGGGTTCAATTATGATTGTTGTTGCAGAAAAACCAACGGCCAGGGGAAAAAAAAACCCGGTGTGCACCTCGGCAGCCTATTGGAGACCCCCGGCTGCTTGCAAGCTGCGACTCCTTCCTTCTCTGGACCTTCTGCGCTTCTTTTATGCTCCAGCTGACCTCCTCCTCCTCCTCCTCCTCCTCCCTCTGTGCCGCTGGTTGCCTGGAAGGTGAAGATGCTCAGCCGTTTGTCGGGGCTGGCCAGCACCGTCCTGCACGAGCTCTCGGGGGACGGAGAAGATGCCGGGACAGCGCCGTCCCCCGCCGTAAGTCGCCTGTTCTCTCCCGGACCAGTTTGGCAATGAGGAAGTTGGTCCAATCCAACTCAGTCTCTTCTTAGAAGCCTCCGGTAATGGAGCACCTACAGCTTCAGTGGGAATAAAGCTGGAAGGGACTTTGGAGGCCATCCAGTCCAGCCCCCTGCCCAAGCAGGAGACCCTATATCGTTTCAGACAAGTGGCTGGTCCAGTCTCCTCTTGAAAACCTCCAGTGATGAAGCACCCACAACTTCTGGTGGCAAGCAGTTCCCCTGGTTAATGGTCCTCACTGTTAGGAAGTTTCTCCTGAGTTCCAGGTTGCTTCTCTCCTTTTTTATTTTCCATCCGTCGTTTCTTGACTTGCCTTCCGTTGTTTTGGAGAATAGCTTGACTCCCTTCTTCTTTGGGGAGGCGAGCCATTCCACTGGTTAACTGTTCGTACCGCAAAGAAATTTCTGCTTAATTCTAGGTTGGATCTCTCCTTGCTTTGGGGCAAGTCAGCCTACCATTACCGGCCGCCTTTTATTCAAAGCCAGCATTCTTCATTGTTCTTGAGTCAATTGGATGCTGGAACATGGACAGGGTCAAGCTGGTATCAAATTGAATGGCTGTGTCAACTCTCTAAATTAAGTAACTAAAGATAAGACAATCTCGAGTCCTTTGGAGCTGCCCAGAGTCACCTTATCAGTGGGGCAGCATATAAGTATAAATAAAGTATGAGAAATAAATAAAACAGTGGTACAGTGGCCTGGTGGTGGAGCTCTCGCCTCACCATCAGGAGGCTGTGAGTTCGATCCTTGGTAGAAGCCGATATTTCTCTTTCTGGGGACAATGAAAATATATCTGCTGAGCAAAACTCCACATTGGTGACAGGAAGGGCATCCGGCCAGTAAACACTCAGCTCCATTCAGTTGCCCAGATTCCACCCCACAAGGGATTGTGGGCTCGTTAAAAGATAAACAAAATAAAAGATAAACAAAATAAAAGAAAATTAATAAAAAGATAAATAAAAAGATAAATAAAGCAGCAGTCAGCACCGCTTAATAATCTAGCAGGCAACCTATTCCGCGTTTATATTTAATTTTAATTTTAGTTTGATTTAGTTATCTTAGTCCTCGGCTTCAGAGGAAATAGGTAGTTTTTTAAACCTTTGAGAGTTGCTCATTTGTGGCAGAATGGACAGGTTGACCTTTTCAAAAAAAAAAGAAAGGGACAATGAAGGGTACCTGGGCACTGTGTCTGGCCTCCTTTGTGCCTCACCCCCCCTCCATAGGCAGCACTAAATGAATGGTGGGCCCCTTGTTCCTTCTCGGACATTCATGTGACACCAACCCTGGTTTGGAGACCGAGAGCTTGGAAAGCTGCGGGGTGACTTAAGAACTTCTGCTTCCTGTTTCCCTCTCCTCCCCCCTCCCCCACAGGGACCGGAGTTTGAATCCAGCCAGCAGAACATGGAGGAGGAGAGCCCAGAAGATGTGCTGGAACGGCTGGCCCACATGGAGAAGCTGGTGGCGCAACTGAAGACACTGTTGCGGGAGAAGGACGCTCAGCTCCATCAGAAGGATGCCATGCTTGAGGTGGGTGGAAAGCGGATGCCCTCTTTCTCCAGGACAGGAACTTCCGTGTGTGTGTGTGTGAAGATGGGACTAGAACTTGCAGCCTCCTGGTGATTGGCCCAAAGTCACCTGTTGTCATGCCCCTGTCGGAGTCTGAATCCGAGGAGGAAGACGAACAGCTGACAGGGAGCAGGAGTATGGCTCCGTTGGCTGTGGAGGAAACTGGGGAAGGGCAAAGTCCATCTGGGCAGAGCAGGGGAGAGGTAGAACAAGGGAGGGGGATTTCAGAGGAAGACCCAGGCCCACCCCCTCTTCATCCCTGGGCACGCAGGGAGGAACGGAGAAGGGAGCAACGTGGGTTGCGTGGCTTATGGGGAAGGAAAGGGCCCTGATTCCCTTCATTAGCCACACCTGGGAATGAGAGTTTAAAAGAGACGCAAGCTGAGTGCGGTGTCTTCTGGGAACAAACATGAGTTTATCTTGTGTTGACTTTGCTTATCTGCATTCCTGGCTTCCTCCCAACTGTGTTGAATTATTGCCATGCCTTTACATCTGGAATTCTTGCTCCTGCCCTGCCGGATTAATTACCTCCTTTTGCCTTGATTGGACTTTAAGTTACAGTTTTTGTTGACCACATTTTGGACTTGATTCTCTGCAGCCAAAGGCTGTTCTTGAGAGAGTTTTTCTCCAGCCCAGAAGGTAACCAGGACATTTGGGGCAAAGTTGGAGCTAATAAAGGGACTCCCACTGATTATCTGACTGGGTTGCCTTTGTGCCACGCCCCTTTGGGTCCTCACACCTGTTGGCTTTCATGCCTAAAGGCGAGACTAGAACTCCCAATCTTCTTCTGATTGGCTCAAATTCACCCAGCTGGCTTTATTTATGACAACTGATGTTTACTTCTGGTTTTCAGTAACAAATACCCTATATTGAATAAAGAATTAACTTAATGGTGGGGTGGAAGTTTTAGCAGTTATCAGCAATGGGCTGTGCCTTGCCCCAGACTGTGCTGTTACACTTGGACAAGGTTGCCCCCCCTATTTCCTGCTGCATTTTGGGGCATGGGGGGGGGGGGACATAAGAACATTAGGATGGGTAGCGGGCTTGCTATATTTAAAAGGTGAAAAGCGATTCCCTAGAAGGAATTTTTTTATTAAAAAAAAACAAAACAGGCTGGAAATCTTTCATGTGAAAACTTTGGCTACAGTAAAATTGTATATTTTTAGTTCGGCTGCAGCCGGTCCTTGACCTGGGACTGTAATGGAGCCTGCCTTTGTGACGGTTGTAGAGCAGGTCATCAAGTGACCGGACCTGATTTGATGGCCTTTTGAGGGGCACCTGTTAAATGAATACCATGGTTGTTTAAGGTGGCTCCTTTGTTTGCTATGAGGTGTTGCAAAAAAAACAAAAACCAGAAGTAAACACTGGTTTTAGTAAAAAAAAAACAAAAAACCATCAAAAATAAAGCCAGCTGGGTGACTTTGAGTCAATCACCAGGAGACTGTGAATTCTACTCCTACTTTAGACCTGAGTGCTGGTTGGGTGATTCTGGGCCAATCCCCAGGAGGTGGTGAGTTCTAGTCCCACTTTAAGGCAGGAAAGGCAGACTTCCGGCCAATCTCCAGGAGACAGGGAGTTCTAGTCCCACCTTTTGGGCCAATCACTGGGAGATGGCGAGTTCTAGTCCCCGCCCTTAGGCAGGAAAGCCTGCTGGGTGATTTGGGGCCAGTTCTTCTCTTTCAGCTCAACCCACCTTACGGGAGGGGAAAAAGGAGGAAGGTGTCCTTGTGTCATTTGTGAAAGTAATAGAGGTGGGATATAAATCAATAAATAAACTGCAGAGGGGAGGTCACCTGGCCCTACAGGAATCGCCCCCAAACACCCCCAGCTTGTCCTTCTGGGCTGAAAGTGCCGGATCTCTCCTCCCCCCGGTGCAGAGGACATCACTCTCCCTCCCCCAAACCCCTCCGCTCAGATCAGGGTCTCCGGACGTCCCCCCTCCAAGGCTGCCCCCGACACCCCCGGGACTCTCGCCCCTGTGTGTGACGTTGTGGCTCCCCTCCAGGAGGAGAGGCAGGCGGCCGAGGCAAAACTGCTGAAGCTGAAGCTGCAGGCTAAAGTGAAGGTGGCCCACCTGAACAAGCGCATCGAGGAGCTGGCGGCCCAGGGAGGGGCAGCACCTGCCGAGGGGCAGCCGGAAGAGCCCCCGCCTCCTGTCCAGGTGAGCCCCCCCCCCTCCCCTCCACCGGGACCAAGTCATCCATCTCCAAGCCAGGCGGGACGAAGGAGAAGCTTTCCTGCGGATCAGCTGTCCCTCCTAATGTCTCTTTTTTTTAAAAAAAATATATATTTTTATGGAGTTTCTTTTTTTGACATCATAAAACATCATGGTTTCGATAGCGTTCTTGGCATCCATACAGGTTTTTGGTTTAAGTATCATCATACATTATATTACATTTGTCTAATATTAACGAATAACTTCAACTATGATTACTATCCTTCTATCTTCGTATAATTTACAAGTTTATGTTTTACTCTCTTAAGGACTATTCCAGTTAGGTTTCTTGCCTCACTTCTAAGTTCTGTTTGTTAACCATTTAGGCCCTCCTAATTGTCTTTCTTGGCTGACGGATGGGGTCCCACTCGGCCACGGGGGGCCCTTCCCATCCAGAGAGACCCTCTGCCCACTTCCGCTGGCCAACGTACCCCCCTCCGATAACACATGGACCCAGGGGAGTTTTGGCTAAAACATGAAACCATTTGAAAAGTCCAGGGGTGCCCAAATCTTCTCCAAAATCTCCCCTACCTCTCTTCTCTTCTGCGCCATCAGGGTGACCACAGCCTAAGCGAGGGGCCGGTGGACGAGACTGGCGCGCTCAGGAGGCAGCTTCAGGAGCAGGAAGAAACGGTGAGGGAGCTCCGAGGGCAGCTGCAGGAAGCGACGGGAAGACTCGGGGATGCCCAGGCCCAGGTAGGGAATCCGAGATGCTCCCCTGGGCCTTTTTGGGGTGGTTTCCTGGCCTCTTGGGATCTTCTCAGGCCGATATTGGCAAGGGAACATGAGTAGAGTAGAGTAGAGTTGAGTAGAGTAGAGTAGAGTAGAGTAGAGTAGAGTAGAGTAGAATATTCTTTATTGGCCAAGTGTGATTGGACACACAAGGAATTTTTCTTTGGTGCAAATGCTCTGAGTGTACATAAAAGAAAAGAGACATTCGTCAAGAGTCAAGAATCTACTCGTAATAATAGTCGTAGGGTACAATAAGTAATCAAATCATACTAGGAAATAGTCAATATAGATTGTAAGGATACAAGTGACAAAGTTACAGTCATACAGTCACAAATGGGAGGGGATGGGTGATAAGGAGTGATGAGAAGATTGACAGTAGTAGTAGTGCAGACTTAGTAGATAGTTGGACAGGGCTGAGGGAATTATTACTCAACGACAGTAAATTATAGATTTCTAGGTGTTTTCTCTGGTGAAATTCGTATAACTTGTCCAGCAATGCTCTGGCATTTCCATACACAGTTTAAAATTGTGGTCCAAAGTTGCCTGCTAAAGCATGCTGCCAGTTTTGGTCTAGTGGTTAAGATGCCAGACTAGAAAGCGGGAGAATGTGAGTTCTAGTCCCGCCTTAGGCATGAAAGCCAATTGGCTGACTTTGGGCCAATCACCAGGAGATTGAGAGTGCTAGTCCCGCCTTAGGCATGAAAGCCAATTGACTGACTTTGGGCCAATCACCAGGAGGTGATGAATTCTAGTCCTGCCTTTGGCATGAAAGCCAGCTGGGTGTCTTTAGGCCAATCACCCACTCACTCTCTGCCAACCCACTTCACAGGGTGGTGGTTGTGGAGACAACAGAAGAAGGAAGGTGTGTTGGACATGTTCCCCACCTTATCTGTAGAAATAATAAAGGGGAGATACGAATAAAATAATGCATAAAACAGGAGCCACAGCCTCTCAAGAGGCACCCGGTGGATGATGGATACCCTGTATGGGAGAGTTTTGCCTCCAGGTGCCTGGCACTGTTGTCCCCAGTTCGGGTCTGAGCCCGGTGCCGAAGCCAATGATGGACGCCAGACACGAGGTGAAGGTTTTGCTGATTGCTTTTTATTGGAGTCCTCCAAGGAAAAGGGGCTCCTGGTCAAAATGCCAAGAGCCCAGAACAAAGGATAGAGCCAAGTTTTATACATTTTCTCTAAGGGAGAAGGTGGGACAAAGCGAGATAATAAGAAATATCATCTAATAAACATTTCAGTAATAATTCTACGATTTGTTCTATTGGTCTCTAGCTGTCCCTATTCCTAAGTCTTGGCTAATGAATGCCCTAGGAGTTACCTAATACACATTTGATTTGCTCCAGGCCTAACTTTTAGCTGAGGTCTGCAAGTTGTCAAACTCGTGTTAACTTTCATCAGCTCTCCAATTAGCCAGGATGGTTACGAGATTTACGCACGCATATCTCCTGTGGATAAGCATTCTTTGTTCTTGCCAGGCAGACTCCACAATGACAGGCCTCCTGATTTACTTTCAAGTGTGTGTATGACCTGGCTTTATTTTAGCAGACGGTCCATCAGCCACCTTTGAACCCAAAGCATTTTCCCAACTTCCCAGCTGCGCATGGAAGGGGATCGTTTTAGCACTGTCTCTTTTCCGCTCGGAGGCTCCAGTGGTTTCCATCGATTCCCCTGAGGCTTCCCCATTGTAATAATCCTCCTTATGTTTTATTCTTCTCTCGGCAGATCAGCTGCCTTCAAGGGGACGTGCTGGAGAAAGAGTCACTCCGCGAAGAACAGGCTCTCCAGCTTCAGGCAGAAATCCACCAGGCAGAGGCCCGCCAAGCCGAAATGCAGCAGGTGGGTTGGGCTCTGGGAAAGCTGCCCGCGATTTACAGGCGGTTTTCAACTTGCCGCAGTTCATGTAGGGACCGAAGTTACAACGGCGCTGAAAAAAAAAATGTGACTCACGACTGTGTTTCACAGTTAACGACGGCTGCAGTATCTCCATAGCCCAATAAGGGTCTCCAAACATGGCCAAGTTTAAGGCTTGTGGACTTCCAGCTCCCAGAATTCCTGAGCTAACATAACTGGAGGAGGAATTCTGGGAGCTGAAGTCCACAAGACTTCAAGCTGTCACGTTTGAAAACCCCTGCCATAGCCACACGATCAAAATTCAGAGGCTTGGCAACCGACTCGAAGTTACGACGCTTGCAGTGTCCATGATTCCCCGTTTGCAGCCTTCCAATGAGCAAAGTCAGTTGGCTTTGGGAGCCAGTATTAACTAACCAGTATTAACTAGCCAGTATTAAGGGGGGGAGCCAGTATTAACTAACTAAACAGCTATAACTTTCGGTCACTAAATGAACTGTAAGTCAAGGACCACCTCAGCTTCCAAGCGCTTCATTAAGCGACTGTTTGACGTTTCAGTGGCCCTGAAAAGGGGGCAACCCATAATAATCATGCTTTTACACTGGTACACCACAGAGTTGCGTCTGGAGTCCCTTACTCTATACTCTTTACGTGCATGACTACATTTCCACTCATGCTAGTAATGCTATTGCTAAATTTGTAGATGATACGATAGTGGTGGGACTCGTTTTCAGGGGGCAGGATGAGTCTGCCTACCGAGATGAGGTGGACCAACGGTTGCTTTCGTGGTGTGGAGACAATAACTTGGTCCTCCACACCACTAAGACCAAGGAGCTGATAGTGGACTATACAGAAGGAACAGATCAGACATCCAGCCCTTGCTTCTCAAGGGAGACCGAGTGGAGCAAGTGGACAGTTTGAAGTTTCTGGGTGTTACCCTAAAAGAGGACCTGACCTGGGGGGCTCACATTGCAGCCCTGGTCAAAAGGGCCCAGCAGAGATTATACTACCTGAGGCTTCTCAGGAAACAACAACGGAATGGAAAACTGCTGGTGACCTTCTACCGCTACACCATAGAGCAGGGGTCCCCGGACTGGTACCGGTCCGTGGATCATTTTTTACCGGGCTGCAAAGCTTGGGCGCTGCCATCTTGTTTCGACGGCGTTTCCGGGTTTTTGGTTGCTTTCGGGTTTTCGGTTGGAAAGCGTTTGCTCATGCCTTAGTTTCGTCGAAGAGGGGGAGCGGCTTCAAACGAAGAGCCGTCCCGATGGCAGTGGAGTCTCGCGTTATTCAGGTACCGGTCCGTGGAAGAATAAATAATCGTGAAACCGGTCCCTGGTTCAAAAAAGGTTGGAGGCCACTGCCATAGAGAGTATCTTAACTTATTACAACTCTGTATGGTTTGCCAATTGCACAGGGGCAGATAGGACAGCGCTCCAGGGGGTTAACTTCATTGCCCAGAAGATCATGGGTTGCCCTCTCCCCTCTTTGGAAGAGCTTTAGAGCTCCCGCTGCCTTAAGAAAGTTCAAAACATCCTCAAAGATCCATCTCATCCTGGGCACTCCCTTTTTTTTTACTATTACCATCTGGCAGATGGTACAGGAGAATAAAAACAAGGACAAAGAGGCTGAAAAAAACAGCTTCTATCCCAGGGCAGGAGCTCTGTTGAATTCTACTGTATAGCGCAATATTAATGCAATATCAGGGGTTTTCAATTCAATTGCATAGAATGTGAAGGATGCGTGTTTGTGTTTATTTTCATAGTCATAACGTATACAGAAGATGGTATTTAATTTCGTTGTATGAGGTGCAGTGACAATAAACTAAACTAAACCTATGACCATGGCATGGTCACGTGATCAAAATCTGGCTGCTTGGCAGAAGAATCAAAATTTGGATCTCGGCTCCTACTTATGATGGTCACACAGTCCCGGGAGGTGTCACATGATCCCCTTTTGTGACCTTCTGACAAGCAAACTCAAGGGGGAAGCCAGATTCGGTTAACGACCGAGCTATCAACTGCAGAGATTCACTTACCGACTGAGGCAAGGAAGGTCGTAAAATGGGGCAAAACTCACAGAACAAATGTCACTTAACAACATAAATTTTGGGTTCAGTTGTTGTCGTAAGCCGAGGATTCCCTATATCTCTCCAGAGGCAAAGCCAGCTGTGAGAAAAATCTGTATTTTAGTCTTGTGGCTTTTGAACCCCCTTTTTTTTGGGGGGGGGGGTCCCTCTTTCTCTCTCTCCACAGAATCTGAGGCAGCTGCAGCGAAAAGTGGAGGAACAAGAGGAGGCTTTGCTGGGCCGGACACAGGTGGTCGAACTGCTGCAGCAGGAACTGAATGTCATTCAGGGGGAAAAGCAGGTATCGCCCCGGGGTTTCCCCAACCCAAAAATAATATTGCATTTTATTGCATGCTGGAGCTGCCCTGGAGTCGCTCTCGGTTTGCAAAATAATAATAATAATAATAATAATAATAATAATAATAATAATAATAATAATAATAATAATGCACGCATCCAGGGGCAAAACTCGTCCCTGGCTTTTAAATAAAACAAATCAACATTTTGATATTGACCTGCGGTCAGGCGGAAAAAACGAACGACCATTGAAGACTTCGTTTTAAAAACAGGAAGTTTGTTCAGAGTATCGTAACGTAAATTCAGCGCTAGAAAAGCAAACACAGATGGCTGAGGCTTCCTTTAACTTCTTTATAAACACAAGAAGTAAATTTTACAATACCAGTTGTAGATTTCTCCAGCATGGAGCAAACTCAAACAGAAGCAGATATGTTACAGGTTCAGAGTGGAGCTCTACTTTTCGGCAAGCAAGTTAGTTTCTCTCTCACTTTAGAGCTAAGCACAGAACCCAGGTAAACCATGTCCAGATTCTCTCTCTAAGTTTCACCCTTCAACTCAGCTCTCATTGGCTGACCTCTATTCCAGTTCATGAATATACTCTGACAAAGCCTCCGCTGGACTTTTGGCTGAAAGAAAAAAGGGGAAAAAAAGACAGAACTGGGGATTTAGGGATTTGAGGATTAGAAAGGGTTAGAGAGGAAAGAGGTGGCAATTCCTTGATGCGAGGAAGAGCCAACGTTCTATGTTTTCTTCTTCTTTTTAAAAAAAATCCTTTTTCTGATTTTTATATTAGTTTTTTAAAAAAACTTTTATTGTCTCGTGAAATATCTTTTTAAGAAATCTCTTTACATTAGAGGCATAGTTTTCTGGATTGGATATTTCCCCCCTGGGCCATCTTGGCTGCATTCTGGCCATGTCAGGGTGTGCAGTAAACCGCCACCCATCCAGCAACGTGGCTTTTGCAACTTCTATGCACAAAGCTCCCTTCTTCTATCCCCAGAATACCCCACATGGGCTCCTGAGAACAAGAAGGGGAAATTGTTGTGGCCCTCCAGCGGCCAGCGGAGCTGGTGGCAGAGTCGGACGCTGAGGAGGTTGGGGAGGAACCTGGGCCAGTCCTGGAGTCTGGGGGAGGCTCTGCGTCGGAGGCAGAGATGGGGACCAGGGCCGTCTGGCAGTTATCAGCTGCCTTTGGAGTTGGAGATCAGTGGGGCAGAAGAACAGCTGGAGCCTGTTCCCAGTGTGCGCATGCACAGAGCTGCCAGAAGAAGGGAACAGCTAAGGAACAAGGGTCGACTCGGGAGTAAAGCCACAGGTGGACAGTGAATGGCCCCTCCCAGAGGGAATAAAGAGGAGTGAAAGGGGGAGTGGGGTTTGCAGGAGACAATTAGTTTGTTTAATTAGTATGAAGATCTGTTCCTGACTTCTTGCCAAGTCATTGCTGCTACAGCTTGGTGTTTGGAAGATATCGGCCTGGCAGCTCTCCAAGCCTGATAAAGGCCTGTCATGGTGAAATCTCTTGAAAGACCGTTTGCCGGGACTTTGCTGGACAGGAATTCCCTTGAACCTAAATAAAAGGGGTTTTATCGGGACGAGGAGTCGGCTTCATGATCTCGGGAAGTTTAGGTCAAAACAGAAATGACGATTCCTTCCCCCGCCCCTCAAAAATTCCTCTGCTGTCCATTTTTTGTTGTCTTGTCCTTAGTGAAGATGGTGTCCTCCCATCTTGGGCTGAGCTCCACGCTTCCGCCTTTCTCTTCCCTAGAATCTCCTGGAGAAGTTGCAAAAGGCAGAGGCGGCGCTGGAGACCTCCAGAACCACCCTGGCTTCTGCCCAGGAGGAATCCCGAAACCTGGTCAAGAGCCTGGAGCTGGAGCTGGCCGAGCAGAAGGCGGCTTTCCAGCAGAGCCAGGAGGAGGTTGAAGAGATGCGCCAAGAGCTGGCCCGGGCAAAGGCGGCCCAGACCGAGTGGGATCAGGAGAGGCAGGCCGAGGTGGCCAGGCACGCTCTGGAGGTGGCGGAGAAGAACCAGGAGATGGTTGAGCTTCAAAAGGCAGAGCAGGACCTCCATGCCAGTTACGAGGCCGTCCAAGCGGAGAACGCCCGGCTGTGGCAGAAGGTGGATGCGCCAGCGGAGAGCTTGCCTGACGATGCTTCTGCCACGCCAGGTCAGAGAAACCGCCTGTCAGGAGGCAGCGGCGTCCTCCAGAAGGAACGGAAGGATCAACGGGAGAGAATCCTTTGTAGCTCCGGGTTGAGATGAGGGGCCTCTGGGCTTGGTGGTTTTCTTGCAGATGTTTCCTAACCCAACTAGGGGACCTTGTCAGTGCTAGAAGGGAGTGGGGTTTATGGAGAGGAAGAGGAGGAGGAGGAATGACTGTGGGGTCCTCAATGCTTTCTCTGAGCTTGGTGGTTTTCTTGCAGACGTTTCCTGACCCAACTAGGGAACGTCATCAGTGCTAGAGGGGAGTGGGATTTGTGGAAGGGAGGGAGGAGAAAGAGGAAGGAAGAAATGAAAGAAGGACTGTGGGGTCCTTGGTGCTCTCTGAGCCTGGTGGCTTTCTTGCAGACGTTTCATGACCCAACTAGGTAACATTGTCAATGCTAGAAGGGAGTGGAGTTAATGGAGGAGGAGGAACGGGAAGGAGAGGAGAAGGAGGGAAAGAAGGAGAGGAGAAGGAGAAGCGGAGGAAGGAGGAGGAGCGGAGTGATGGAGGAGAAGGAGAAAGAAAAAAAGGAGAAAGGAAGAGGAGGAGGAGGAGGGGGAGAAGGAAGACTGGGGTCCTTGTTGCTCTCTGAGCTTGGTTTTCTTGCAGACGTTTCATCACCCAACTAGGGAACATCATCAGTGCTGGAAGGGAGTGGGGTTTGTGGAAAGAAAGAAGGAGGAAGGGGGAGAAGGAAGAGTCTGAGGTCCTTGGTGCTCTCTGAACTTGGTGGTTTCCTTGCAAAACTTTCGTGACCAAACTAGGGATTGTGAAATAAGAGAGAGGGGTTAGCAGCAGAGGAGGGGAAAAGAGAAGGAAGGAAGAGGAGGAAGAAGTGAGGGAGGAGGAGGAGAAGGAAAAAGAAAGAACTCTGGGGCCCTTGATGCTCTCTGAGCTGGGTGATTTTCTTGCAGACGTTTCATGACCCAAGTAGGGAACATCATCCGTGTTGGAAGGGAGTGGGATTTGTATAGTGGAAAGGAGGAGGAGGAGGGCTATGGAGGCCTGGGAGTTCTCTGAACTTGGTGGTTTTCTTGCAGGCGTTTCGTGACCCAACTAGGGAGCACCATCAGGGTTAGAAGGGAGTGGGGGTTTGCTCTCTATTTACATACTAGTGGGAGTCTTCTCCTTGGCTCCTTGATCAGGCTATAGTTTATTGTTTGACTGTCTGAGTTGGTGATTCCTAATTGAGGTATTGTTTACTGCTGGATTCAAGGAGTTTACCCATTCAGACAAATAAGCCAACAATAAACAATCGTCTAACCAAGTGACCAAGAGCCATCCCAGCATCAGCTAATAGTATATAAATAGAGATTAATGCCTATTCCCAGGGATCCTCATTCTATTCCCGAATCACCTGGACAGATTCTCCATCAGATGGTGGGTGTTTTTTTTTCTTCTGGTTAGGTTGTTAGCACCTTAAACCCCACATTTTGATTGGTTGTAAAATGTCAACCATTTAATTGGAATAGAGCTGGGAGGTTTTGTAGTCCGACCCTCTTCCCAAGCAGGAAACCCTATACTATGTCAGACAGGTAGCTGTCCAGTCTCTTCTTAAAAACCTGCAGTGTTGGAGCGCCCACGACTTCTGGTGGCAGGCTGTTCCACTGGTTCATTGTCCTCCCTGTCAGGAAATTCCTCCTTCATTCCAGGTTGCTTCTCTCCTGGATTAGTTTCCATCCTTCGCTTCTTGGCCTGCCTTCTGGTGCTTTGGAGAATACGTTGACCCCTTCTTCAAATACTGGAATACTGATATCATGTCCTTCATTTTTTCTCTAGACTAACCAATTCCTGCAACTGTTCTTCATATGTTTTAGCATCCAGTCCCCTAATCCTATTTGTTATTCCTCTCTGCACTTTTTCCAAAGTCTCAACATCCTTTTTTTGTAATGTGGGGACCAAAACTGGATCCAGTATTCCAGGTGTGGCCTTACTTATGAGGCTTTATAAAGTGGTGCTAATCCTTCCCGTGATTTGGATTCGATGTCTCTGTTGATACAACCCAGGATTGTATTGGCTTTTTGGGCTGCCGCCGCGCATGGCTGGCTCATGTTTAAGGGATCGTCCATGAAGACACCAAGGCCCCTCTCACAGTTACTGTTTTTTTTGAGCCAGGTTTTGCCTAATTTCTATTTGTGCCCTTGAGGGGTTTTTGCCTAGGTACAAAATCTTGATTTTTCTCCACATTAAATGTCATTGTGTTGCATAGGGCCCCTTGTTCAAGATCTTTTTGGATCCCGAGCTTGTCTTCTGGGGTGTTGGCTATTCCTGCCAGCTTCATGTCATCTGCAAATTTGACGAGTTCCTCTTCTTTTCCCTCACCTAAGAGGATCCCCTGTTACTATGCTACTATCTATTACGATGCTACTGTGCACATACTCCTATGCTCGGACACTATGCCGGTATCCTCTGCTCAGGAACAGCCCAGCAGGTCCGTGGTGCCCGTGGCAGCCTTCAGGATTTTAAGTCCTTTCCATTCTTTGCCAAAGGAAAATGACCCCCCCGGTCAGGCTTCTCCTTAACCAGGAGCAGATTTAAGGAATGGGCTTCAGTTGGTGGCTGTTTTCTGCTTATCTCAGCTTGGGTGTGTGTGTGTGTGTGTGTCTTATTACACTTTTGGGGGAAAACTCATGTTGTGTTTCCTGCCTCAGGTGAGACCCCCAAAAGGTGCCCGGAGCTCGGCTTGTCTCAGCCAGAACTGGAAACAGCTACAGGGGTCCCGTCTCCTCCCCTGAGCCAGGTAATTGCTTCCATCAGTACCTTTGCAGAAGAGGTGGCGAGGCCAGGTTTCCTGGGAAGAGACCGCAGGGAAGGCACGTAGTAAAATAAAGGAAAGTAGGTAAGGTAAAGGTCCTCCGTCATTCCGGACACGGTTGTCCC